AATAAACACAACATATCTTTTATATGCAAGGTCACTACTTTACGTACTTCGTCATTGTTTATGACGTCGTAAACGTTGGGCTTAGAAGCTTTATTCAGAGATTGCGTTGGCAATTCTTTTTCTTGTTGTTCCGCGCGGAATTTTTGTCTACTTTGAAATCTTGTAGTGACTTTATTTATTGATCCGGTTATATTTTGTAATTCTTTGATGGTTATTCTTGATAACGCATCAGCTACATAATTGTCTTTGCCCTTCAGGTATTCTACCGTAAAATCGAATTCCTCTAATTCAAGCCTCATACGTGTCAATTTTGAACTTGGATTTACCATTGAAAACAAATAGGTTAATGGTCTATGATCCGTTTTAATAGTGAAGTGATTGCCATAAATATATGGTCGAAAATGTTTTATAGCCCAGTGAATAGCAGATAATTCCTGCTCAGTAGTACTCTTGTTACTTTCTCCTTTAGTAAAGGATCTCGATGCGTATGCAATTGGAAGTTGGAGTCCGTTATGGTTTTGAGTTAAAACCGCTCCACACGCTTGTTTACTTGCATCAGTTATTATGCAGAATTCTCTTGAAAAATCTGGATATTGTAACAAGGTTGGGTTTATAAGTGCCGTTTTAAGATGATCGAAGGCATTCTGGAATTCCGATGTCCGTTCGAATTTTACATCTTTTTTGCATAACCTAGTTATGTGACGAGAATAATCGGCAAAATTTTTTATAAAGCGCCTATAGTAATTGCAAAATGCAACGAATCGTCTAGCGCTGTCCGCGTCATGCGGGACTGGATAGTTTTTTATTACGTCATATTTTTTGTCATCAGGCAAGATTCCTTTATCAGTGCATTTATGTCCCAAAAATGTGACTTCATGCATGAAAAATGAACATTTTTCAGGATGTAACTTTAGGTTTCCTACATGTCTCAAAAACATCAGTTAGGTTCTTAAGCATGTGTTTTTCGGAACATCCTATGACTATTAAGTCATCCATATAAAGAAATGCTTGTGACGGTTCTAATCCTGAGAAAGCAATAGTCATCATTCTCTGGAATGAATTTGGGGCTATTTTCAAGCCAAATGGTAATCGCGTGAAGCGATACGAGCCATTGCTCGTTGAAAATGACGTTATATCCCTGGAACTTTTTTCAAGTTCAATTTGGTGGAAACCAGACATTAAGTTTAGACATGAAAAATATTTAGCTCTACCTAGCTGATCTAGAATATCATCAATTCTAGGTAAAGGGAATTTTTTATTGATTTGACGATAGTCAATTACTAATCGCCATTTCTTCTTGTCAGAGTCCGGGAGGGACTTCTTTGGAACTAATAAGAGTGGGCTATTGTAAGGTGAGACTGATGGTTCGACTATCTTGTCGTCTATCAGCTTTTGTACTTGGGCCTGAATTTCTTGCACTTGGCTGTGCGGACTTCTGTAATTTTTGATATATAAGGGCTCGTCATCCTTTAGTGTAAGCTTTTGTTTGTAAAAGTTATTTGTTGTTATAGATTCGGTTTCGAGTCCGAATATGTCTGTGTATCTGGTGCATAGATCTTTTAATTGAGATTTGAATAAAGGCGGGAAGTTTTTGGTTAATTTACTCATAACGAATTCATCTCTTCCTTCGTTATTTTCTTTTATTATATCATAATTATTCAAAGTTTCGTATTTAATATTATTTAAGCTTACAATTTTTGTGGCATTCGTTGTATTTATTATACGGACAAAAGTATTATTGTGGTCGGATATCGTGTTTGCGATATAAATTCCTTCATCAATTTCCTGATTTAATATCAGAATTTGATTTTTTGCTGAGTGAAAGACCCCAAATAAAATAGAAGTCTTCATCTGCTGAGTTTTTGTAAGAAACTGAATTTATTTCATTCAAACCCTAGCTTATATAGCTAACATGAGAATTTACATTGTAGATCTTAGTTCTAGACCCACGCATCGGACAGTTCCCGATCGTGGGTAGTATTTTAAGTGAGATAAGGGTGCATACTGTCAACCCGATAGCACATATCTTAAACAAACCCAGACCGCTCACAGGAGGTCATATTTCGGGTTAGTTGTTACATAGGTTCAAGTGGCGGTTGTATTAATAGATAGATATGCACATACAAGTGCTAGGCCGTGCTCTGCTGCTGGGACTTAATCGCTAACAGATGCTTCTTATCTATAACCGTGTTCATGTTTGAACATTCTGTTAAGGGCCAGCAAGGTTCGGGGTACATTTAAATTAGTTGCAAAGTTGTTAAGTGGACTGTATTTATTTTGTTTAATTCGATATAATTAATCTTGCAACTAACATTTGCATAGGCCTCTGTAAAATGGCTTGCATATACTATTTATATTTAACTTTTAATTTTTAATTAATCAAAAATTGTTTGTATTGTATTTCTTTTTTTTGTTTTGTATTATTTTTCTTAATTTTTGAAAAAATTTCTATTCGTTTTAACTGATATTTTATGACTTTAACTTCAGCTTTATAAATACCTCCGAAGTGAGGTCTGCCGGGGGAATATTGAGTTAAGTAACTCCTAATTTTTTTTTTTTATACAAAATCAAAAAATTATTAAAAAAAAATATATTTTATTAAGTCGACTTAGCTGCTGCTTTTTCCGCTTCTGCCGCGCCGCCGTCGTCTTTAATTTTGATGTTGTTGTTTTTGCTGCTGCTGTCGTCGCTGCCGCCGTTCTTTGTTGTAGGATGATTTCCTGATGCCGCCTGTTTCTGTATCGTCGCTGCGGCCGTCGTTGTTGTTGCAGACTTATTTGTAGTTGCTGCCGTGAGGTCGTCCCTCCTTCTACTTTTCTCCGTCAAGGGCTGGGTAACTTCCACACAATATCTTAGTCGATTTCTCGACCCCAGAAAATTGTTTTATTCTTATTTTCTGGTTGCCATATCTGGCATTTACAAAAAAAAACCAACCAATGGAGTTGGAAAAAATATTAATAAGGACTCTTATTGTCCTTTAATTTTAAAAAACCAACCAATGGAGTTGGAAAAAATTATTTTTTGTTTAAAAACAAAAGGGACTCTTTTTTGACCTTTTGAATTGTCGTTTTCACGACTACCAAAAACTTTTTTATTATTGTGTTTTTTTTTTTTTAATTTGTCACGATAGGTCTTTTTTTTCACTACCGCGACTTTTCGATGTTTTAGGCCAGCGATGGGCACGCCGTGGCTCAATTTGCTCACACTGCTCAAACCGTTATCTTTTTTCGGAGGCGCCATCATGTCGCACAATTGCAGACGCACAAGTGCAGTGCTCGCGATCAGCGAACCGTGAAGATTTACAAAAACAACCACACTGACCTTTGACGCAGGTAGCGAGCACATCGCCGCGACCGAACTCGCACATCGTCCCAAAAACAAGAACAATTTTAAAGGGACCTGCGCGGCTGCCGTTGACTTCTGCACTAAAGAGAAAAAAGATTGGATTTTTTTTTGCAGTCGTTTTTCTTAGGCGGACATAAATGCACGCAAAAATGGCTGAAGATATTGATCTACTCAAAATGTTTTTGTCAGTGTATTTTCTCGGCTCGCACATTCTGTGTGTCGCGTGGGTGCGACGCTTCGCAACGCTGGGGGGTTGTTGTTGTTTTTTTTTTTCAGCGAGCTGCTGCTCAAACCGTTAGATCTCGTGCCCATCGCTGTTTTAGGCCTCGAAAAAACGCCCACAATAAATATTTGTTATATTTATTTTTTTAATTTTGTCGATTTCTCGACCACTTTTTTTTTTTTACAAGAAGGACTCTTTTTTTTATCCTTTTGCCTATGTATGGTATATGTTGGCCATTTCAAATACCATAACATAATTTTATGCACTTTTTACATTTTCTTTAAGCACATTTTCTACTGATATTATTGGCTCCAGCACGCCTTACCATTTTTTCATGGTATTACAGCAACCTAAATGGTGCTTGTTTTTAAAACATAAAAGACTCTTTTGTGTGTTTTTGTTTTTATTTTATACTCTGTTCCTTACCACGGGTGGGGGGAAACAAGAAACAAGATAATTATTTTCGCAGCCTTAATATTTTAAGGTGCTGATTTATAACGCTGAACCTCTTACCACAAGGGGGAAAGTTGCAGAGCGGTCGAAGGACCAAAATGAAAGACCCCAAATAAAATAGAAGTCTTCATCTGCTGAGTTTTTGTAAGAAACTGAATTTATTTCATTCAAACCCTAGCTTATAGAGCTAACATGAGAATTTACATTGTAGATCTTAGTTCTAGACCCACGCATCGGACAGTTCCCGATCGTGGGAAGTATTTAAAGTGAGATAAGGGTGCATACTGTCAACCCGATAGCACATATCTTAAACAAACCCAGACCGCTCACAGGAGGTCATATTTCGGGTTAGTTGTTAGATAGGTTCAAGTGGCGGTTGTATTAATAGATAGATATGCACATACAAGTGCTAGGCCGTGCTCTGCTGCTGGGACTTAATCGCTAACAGATGCTTCTTATCTATAACCGTGTTCATGTTTGAACACTGAGGGAATTTGTATTTCTCGGACAACTTCGGAACGTGCAGGGAGTACTGTGGCATTACTTTCACAAGAGTGAAGTATTTGCAATTCAATTGGACAATTTAAGTTATCTGGACGAAGAATTAGTGAGTCGCCTCTTTGAGTGAAATCTAGTTGGCAATTGTATTGTTTTATGAAGTCAATACCTAGTATGCCATCGCAAGGTATTGGGAAACTTTGGTCGACAAAGTAAAAGTCGTGTGGGATGATATATTTGCCATTAGTGAGTTCTACACTGGCTAAGCCTGTTGAAGATATTGTTCCTTCGCCTATTCCCGATATTTCGGTGTGTACTTTATCATTGATTATCTCAAATTTATCTATATTATCTTTTAATATAGATATGTCTGCACCAGTATCAAGTAACAGAGTATAACATTTACGTGTACTTTAGTTTTTGATTTTTCTAAAAATGCTTAGATTCAGGTTGACTGTTTTTATTGAGCTAGTTGTTTGCTCTAAATATCTGAAGGGTTTTGTTGGTTTTCCGAGTTGGTTTGGTCCAATCGGACATTGTTTTTGTTGTTACGGTTTGATCCGTTGTTATTTCCGTTTCGGTTGTTTCCGCCACGGTTGTTTCCTCTATAATAATTATTATTATTATTATTATTGTTGTTGCGATTATAACCGCTGTTCTGGTTATTCTGGTAGTTTTGGTAGTAGCCATTGTTTCGGTAATTACCTCGGCCATTACCCCTACCGCGATAATTGTTCCTGTAACTATTACCGCGATAGTTACCTCTTTGTGCATACAGTATGGTGTTGGCGTTACCCGTCATTTCAGTACTACATTGTATATACTTTGTGACGGCTTCATTCATGGTCGTGAAGTTGCCAGCTTCCAATATTGTCTTTAGTCTGCCATGCTCACAATTTTTGACCATTGTGGTGATGGCTTCCTTTGTGCTGAATTTATCAGCGTGTTCGGCCGAGAGGCCTTTAATCGATATACGAAGCTTCTAAGAGCTTTCGTAGGTTGTCTATGTCAGTTGTAAATTTCTCGGCAGTTTTGCCTTTCTGAACAGTCTTGGCCATTTTGGCCTTCATTACATTGGATGTTTCGCCGACTACTGTGTCCTGTAGTTTTTTAATTATGTCATTTATGGTGGTCTCGTTTTGAACCCTGTATAAAGTGGATCCAACAATTTTGGACTTAATCACTTCGACAGCGATGTGTTCAAATGTCCCCTTTGTTAGATTGACTAACTTCAAGGCTGTTACGAATCTTTGTAGATGTAACTTTTGGCCATTGAATTCTGGGATGGCACTAGAAATTTCTTTGATATATGCTCTTTGGGCAATCGTTTCGTCGGCCATGGTTATTGTACTATTTAGTTTATTTTCTTCTGAGTTGCCTGAAGTGTCTGAATCTTCTGATTCCAGATCAGTGTAGGTTGCCGGAATAGTAAGATTGTTCAAATCTTCTTCTTCTATTTTCGGGCTTACTTCAGGTGGCTCTTCTGACTCTTCCTCGTCTGTTTCTGACGATTCGGGGTCAGGTGCAGTTGAGACTGCTTTTGGTATGGATAATACGGTTGGTACCGATATTTCCAAACCGAATTTCTGTTTAACAGATAATAAATTAGATCGTAGGCGTATCAGAAGTTTAGATACTTGTGTCCAATGATCTTGAGTCAACCTATCTTTATGCTCATATATTAGTATACGTGCTTCATTAAAACACTCGACCAATATTTCTACGTGTTTCCGAACTGTGTTCTTTTGGATCGGTCTATTCTGAGCTAGGGACTTATACGATCTGTCAAAATTTGTTTTTATATCTGATAATTCTTTATAAATTTCATTCCATTCCATTCTTTAGCTTAGCCATTCTTTGGAATAAAAACTGGTGTGTGTGTGTTTTTGTATTTTTGTGTTGTTTATTGAATTTTTAAAATAGTTGGGTTTTAATTATTGCTGTTATTTAATCATTGCTGTTATGTATGCTTTCTAATTAGATTTTATCCAGGTCGTTACCCCGGCTCATATATTTCTTTTTCAGGCATTTATTATGCAACTTGTATATTTTGTAAAAAAAATTAGCGCACATAATAACGACAATGATTATTAAAAGTATGTGTACCCAGTATAGATTAATGTTACTGGACTCTACTTTATTGATGACGTTGGCAGTGGAGTCCACTGTTTTTATATCCAGGGTCATTTTTCTGGGATTTGTGTAAACTTCTACTTTATGTGTATTAATGAGGTTATCCTGCTCTTCTATTAAAAATTTGCTTATTGCGTTACTTTGCATAAAATTTAACAATCTTCCTGCCTACTTGGTCGCATAGCTTTACGGGCTACGCTGCTAATCGGGCAGATAAGATTCCGCTCAAATTTTCAATGGGTGGTAAAAAAAGGTGCATCACAGTGCACTCGCAAAAAATTGTGCAACGCAGTGCATAGGTTTGTATATTTTTGCTGCTCCGGGGTCCAGTGCCATCCGCGTCAGCTGGTCGTCGCCGGCCTGGCTTCGCTGACGCTCCCTCGTCGGTGTAAGGGGCGGCCAGCCACTCACACTTGTAGTTCTCTGCTGCAGTTGTCCGGGGCCTATGGGCTCAGGCGATGCCGGTGCTGGTCTTCGCACAGGTACTTATAGTTTTCTGCTGCAGTTGTCCGGGGCCTATGGGCTCAGGCGATGCCGGTGCTGGTCTTCGCACAGGTCTTCACAGAGTTGAGTGGTCCGGGGGCAGTCGATTGGTTTGTGTTTAGTTGGGCAGGATTGTGGTTTTATTTTGGATTGGTTGATGAAATAGGTTTCGGAGAGGGCGGTTTTGTTGTTTCGTTATATGTCGATTTATTCTCTTCTGTTTTCACTGGCCTTATTGTGTGTTGTCCTTCGATTGGAAAAGCACTATCTCCACATCTCCGTAGTAATAGTGGATGAATCTTTCCGGATTGGCGTCCACTGCCGATGCTAGATTGATTCCTACGTTGCAGTGCCAGTGCCCACCATGGTGGTTGTTGAAGTAAGCTTGTATTTCGTATGCAATATCTTCACTATCTGTTACGCCTCTGTCCACAATGCCGAATATCAATTCGAAGGCATCCCATTCAAGGTATGCTGGTACGTTGCTGCGTTTTATTCCCTGAGGTTTAGGGTAAGACATTTGTAGAGTTTTTTTTTTTCGGTTAGCACTTGAATTTTTCCACTTTTGTTCTGCAGCCTTAAATCACGGTCACTTGAGGTCCATTGATGTCAACGGTCGCCATGAAATAGGATTGATCCGCCATACAAATTTTCTCCAAAGGATAAGACTTGGTGTTTTAGTTTTATATTTTTATTAATAGTTTTTATTTGAGTTTTTAAATTGGTGCGGCAATGGTGCCGGTCCAGAGCTCCAAGAGTTAGATGATAGCTGCAGCTATGATGCCGCTCCAATGCTCAATCAGTTAATAATCTTACAGTATTCCTTAAGTTATAAAGTAAGCTAAGTCTCGGAGCTGCGCTGCTCGCAGGCGGCGGCAGAGAGACGGCTGTGTATATGTATTCTTATGTATAAGGAAATGTACTTATGTACATTGGCTATGCGCTCACAAGTGGAGGCGCGAGGGGGTATGCGCGTGTAGTCTATTCGATGCAAATATGCCGACACTAGCACTTTCTGAGTGCAGGCTAAGCCTTAGCGATCGGTTCATATTTCGGCCACTCATGGTTTATGACCGGGACTTTGAATTGTGTAAACACTGCAACATTGTATTACAGTGCGCACTCTTTAAGTACTCTGGGTACAGTGCGTATTCGATATGTGCGCATACTACAGTTGCTAACATTCTTGGCAATGAAACCCTTGCCTTTCAGGGCTTCTAGTATCTCAGAGGGGGTGAATCCGGTTCAATTCCTTTCAGCACTACTTGCAGTCCCTTGCTGCTTTTTAGTTGGTAGGTGTAAAAGCTCTTTTTTGCTTCCTGCAGGTAATTACACACAGCTCGAAAGTGTTCTTCTGTTTTGGTTTGAACTTTGGTTTCGCAGATGTTCCCTTTAATAATCGGAACAACATGAAAATTTCCGTCCCCGACCACCGCATCAATTTTGTTGACCAGGGCGTTTGAACTTTTCTCCCTTATATATATAGGTGGGGGCTTTGGCTGTTTTTGAGTCTCCTGCTCCAGCTCTGCTTCGTTATTCTCGCCAGCTGCTAGCGGAGAAAATCTGTTGGAGTTGTTTTGGTCGTAGCTTTTGGTGACACGGTTGATCTTAGGTTTGTTACCAACCGTGTTATGTGGGCTAAGCTTACGCTTAATTTGGATGTAGCGGTCCATGCCAGTCTATATGGCCGGAACCGCTTGTTGCTTATCGGAGCTCACGGTTTTTGTTGCCAAAGAACTTGGCGCTGCGGCCGTTGGCACCGATTTTGCAATATTGGTCGTTGGTTTAGTTTTTGTTGTTGCTTTTGCTGCGTTTGCAGAAATTGCAGCTCTGCTTGTTGTAGGTGCGTCTTCCATCGAAGCCGCTGGTGGTGGGGTTTGACATTGGGAGCTCCAAGATGTAGGGGCTGGAGTGAGTTGGGCGGGAGAGCAAGAGCGCGCTCTCGTGCCGTCGGCGGTGAGTAGAGCCGGGTTGGGCGTGGTAGACGTTTTTTCTGCTTCGTTATCGCGAGTTGAGAAATATGAGAAACAACCGTTTCTTTGGTTTACAGAGGTTCTACGCTCATTCTTTTGATCGCCGCTCATTATTTTGAGCTTGTTACGCGTGGCACCATATAAATGAACTTTGCAGCTCAAAAACACGTCTCACGCACTAGTGTCCGTATGTCATACGCACTGTAGGGCTTGGCCTAACTGACAGTACGTAGTTTAGAGTTCCGAATTTTCTTTTTTACCATGAAAAACACTACAAGAATGAACCCCGCGTAGCGGTTGTCCGTAGGCACGTCTGCACTCGATGAAGGTCGAATGCGAAAAAAAAAAATTACGAACTAAAAACATTATAAACAGTGTAAATAATATAATAAAATTTAAAATATAGGTAAATGTCGACAAAAATTAGGTTATTTATGTGCGATTCTCTTAAACTTTAAATTTATATCGTTAGGAATTATCTCATGGTGACAAATATATGGCTAACTAGCTTTGCGTGACAAAAAGAACAAAAGAAATCGAAAGAAGGAATTGGGTTCTCAAGAAATAATATTATAGTTTTTTAACGTAATTTAAAATGCATTTTTTATTTAAAAAGTTTAGTAATATTTAAAAACAGTCGCTGTAATAGGATGCTTATATTTATTGTGGGAATCTTTAAATTTAGAATAATTCTTGATAAAATGCTAATAATTTTAAAATAATATCACACCTAAAAACACAGAGATCAGACGTTTATTTTGTTACCTCTGTCATAAAAATCAAAATCTGCCAAGAAACTAAACAATAATTAACATAAATTAAACCACACAAAGTTCAGTGTTGCCGCAACATCTTCCAAGTGAAAATCATCAACATAAAGTGCACAACAATATTAAACAAACGAAGTTGATTATTTGGGATAGCCACCTGACCTTTGGACTTACAAGCTTCTCTTTGCCTATACTGAGAACAACAGTGCTGAGAGCAGCCGTGAGAACCAACCCGCTTATCTCTCTTTCTACACGCCACCTACCTTTCTTCGACTCTCCTTGCCGGCGAGCACGAGAGAGCAGACCAACCGCAACAACAACACCAACAGAAAGAAAGAATAGCAAAGGATAGAAAACAGAGTAAGCCCCAACATAAACAACAACAATGTCAGCCCCGGTTACACGCTCGCTAACTGCATCGGCACCAAAACGGGTGCGAACTGACTCGTCGATCGATCTGAAGGCGGGTCGACCATCTGATACCCTGGCAATGGAGTTGGTTGATCTTATCAACAAACGCTTTACGGAGCAGAATGAACATATCAGTT